GTGCGTCTTACAGTGAATCTACTTTTTGACTTCTCCCCGAACAATTAACCAATGCAAACAGTTGGAAAGCAAGGATCGCACAATTTTTGGTCCGGCTCTGCGGTCTTGATTTTAAAGAATACCTACAATTAGTAGTTAGTTGCGTTAATACTATTGGCTTATCTCAGTGGCTCCAACAATTAAAAGTATTTTTATATTATTTTGATAATTAATATCATTCATGAAGCCCACCGAGTGAAAATTTTTATTGGTGAGTTGTAAAGAGTATATGCATCAAGGATGTAGAGGACCTCCGTTGCACAATTTCACACCAAAAGAGCAACTACAATAACAACCAAATCTTCAAATTCAGGTGTTAGTTCCTAACATAAAACGACTAATCAATGATTGCCAACATTTCGATATCATAATCTGTCAGTGCTGGACTACCTCAACCTAACATGTCTTTTCCAGGAGATCATTATGCTTACCCTTAATTATTGGTTAGATCTTTATCATTATGCTTACCCTTAATTAGGATACTCAAAAATGAATGTCCTGGTTCACTTTCCTTGTCTACTTTCCTACCTCATTCTACAGTTAAACATAAACATGCTCTATTAACCATCAGTAGCTCTTTTCTGATGTCCAACCTCTCTAAATAAATTTACCAGGATTGCTACTATGTACTTTTTGCCTTTTTTTTTTTGCCTTTTTTTTGGGATAAATCGGTGGGACTTCCCCTGCATTTCATTAAAAAGAGTTTAACGAAACATATAGATACAAAACATTGCACTCTCCTCACAAAATACAAAAGTAATACAAAAGGCGATATAGGCATAGCAGCGGTGAAGCTCAATAGAGGAGTGCAAAGTCCAAGTGAGGGACTACTCGCTATAAGATCCACCCTCTTGGTAACCCGGTGATACATCAATGTCCTACAACCTTCTGTCATCATAGTCGTCGTGAACATTGCTGCATAAGTCGACATGAGTAAACCGTATGATAGCTCTGTCCCTTTGCCTCATCTGACAATGAACACGTCTAGAGCATAAAATGAAAAAGCATGTGAAGAAATGTACATGATGCAGATCTTGTACTATTTCCAAAAATTCTATTATTTCTCTCATGTCAGACCGCCCATCAAGAGGCCACTATAATTGAGCAACATAAAGATTGATCTCTTTTATTCTAGTTTTGATCCAAGCAGACCAAATATCACATAAAGATCTTAGCTGACCAACACCACCGAAGTACAATCTAATATTTTCCCAGAGAACATTCATAAAAAGATAATGGAGGAATAAATATTCTACTATTTCAGCATTTAAAAGATAGAGGGCACAGATATTAGGTCATCAGGTTGTCCCACGTCAGGATAGCATTTCTAATGGCAAGCCACAAAAATGCTTTCATAGGTACTCTAGATGTCCATATAACTTAGGCATTGCTGATTTACCCCCACCTAAATATATTTATCTATACCAAGTAACAAGTATAAACTGAAATTTGCTTTACTCACTGAATATCTGATAATTGAGATGTTTCTGGAAATTTGACTTTACTCGCTAAATATCTGATCTATCTTCAACTATCAACCTGATAATTGAGATGTTTCTGGAAATTTGACTTTACTCGCTAAATATCTGATCTATCTTCAACTATCAACTGTTTACGCACAAAGGTCTCATTCAACTAAAGAGATTTCAAAAAGAATAAAATTGCATTATATTATATTAAATAAACTACTAGATTACCATCAAAAGTTCTGACCTTATTGGCAGAATTTGAGACATATTAAAACATTAAATGCAAGTTCACTAGTAAAGTAAAGGTTATAGCTTAGAATGCCTTTCTCAGCTTCTTAGGAGAGAATACTTTGTTCAGTGGATTGGAAGATCATACGATCTTTCAACAGATTCAAAACCTGCATCACAGCGAATATAGTAGGAAATAGTTAGTTTAACAAGATTAATATAAGATGCAATTCTCAGAGTGAAAAGTTTTAGAATTGTGGAAGAATAAGAAAACTTCACTTCTGATTCTCCAAGTTCCAGCTCCTTCTCAACTAAGTTGTTAACAAAACTTCACTTCTGATTCTCCAAGTTCCAGCTCCTTCTCAACTAAGTTGTTAACGGAAGCTCCAAGCTCTTTGATCACACCAATTCCAGAAATTAGTGAAACTGGCGTGGCAGCCATCTCATTAGGAACGATGAACCTCACTAACCTGTTTGCATATCCCCCGCCACATTCTGTACCAGATACAGGTAACTTCGGATTTATTTCATTTAATGTCACGCTACCTATATTATGCTTGCACTTACCCCTCCCCACATGCCAGCAATTTTCGCATCCTACAGCACTGCTTGTCTTTGGCATATGCTTGCACTTACCCCTCCCCACATGCCAGCAATTTTCGCATCCTACAGCACTGCTTGTCTTTGGCAAGTTCACTTCAGTTCTCAGAATCTGGTTGTTGCATTTAAAATGTGGGTAGTGGTGATTGCATTGTCTCCGAGGAACGCAAGAAAAATAACTTACTGATCCTAAGATTCCTCTTCATATTAGATGTAATGATTCTCTGTTCAGTTTTGATGACAAGCCAATCTGTAATAGCACTGAAATAAATACCAAGTTGCGCATGCCAGGGACGGGAATAGGAGGGTGTTTTCAAATAGGTTTGTTAAATTTACAGTCATGGACGAGATGGTTGCGACACACCCCTCCCTCTATGCAGTGTCGAAATCTTCAAGGAATTGAAAGTACTAATTGGCACTTTGGTAGAGGAGAAGGTAACTCTGGGCGAAACAGAGGTGTGAAAATGCTTTTATCTCATGGTTTCTTAAAGAAAAGTCTATCAATCCTCTAGAAGATTACCCAACTTATTATTCTTTCATTATTTTGTGGTGCAGGATTTGAACCTGTTGAAAGCTTGTTTGACCTCTCATTCAGCTCTGAGCATTGTCTTCAGTCCAAGAGAAAGCAATGCGCTGATCTTGCAGGAGTTGTATATATTGATCTAGTGCGTTTGCAGCATTAGGCATCCGCAGACATTTTATGATTCCTATTGTGGTGCTGAGCTTCCACAGACTTTGTTCCTTAAGACCCATTATCAAATTTTATGTTGTTTGAAGTCGAACATTACCATTTATGTTTCCAAGTCTCAAGTTTTGTTTTGTTTCTTAAAGGTGAGCTCAAGTTATGTTCATTTTGTTACCAAATAAGTCAATTCAGTCTAAATGATATATTAAATCCAGTTCTTGTGTCTACATGTGCCTTATAAATGTTCTACAAATTATGTTTGAAAAGCCATTTCCTGTCTCTTCATTCACCTAGCTGCATATGTTCTATACATTAGGACACAGGTCACTCAAGCATAGTTTGGGGGACTATAAAGTATTAAACAGCAGTACTATTGGACATGTTTCATTCTTGGTTTTTTTTTTTAATGACAATGGATAGCATCCAAAATTAGTTGGTGGTTCTTGTATTCCTGCATTTCTGTCATTCCAAAAGTAGAAGGGTGCATCTTACTTGGAATTAGAAATAATTTACCTTCTACAGGAAAAACAAAAGCATTTTCTCAATAATCTCCATAAACAAAACTAAATTAATCAAATAATTATGTTTAAAAGGGGCACTAAAAACAATAAAAATTTTACTTATACATGCTTGGAATTACATGTTAGTGGAAGCATTATTGCCTTCCTTCATCCGTCCAGCTCTCCCAGCCTCTTCTAGTTCAAACATTTATGTGACTCAACTTTTTTGGGCCTGCACCTAGTTGAAGTTTTTGATTGGTGAAAAGCATTTCAAAGAAATACATAAAAATGCACAGACTCACATTCCATATGAACAGAGAATTATCATAGACAGGACACAAACTGAACCTAGAAAAAGAACTTAAGTTGTACTGTTCAATTTACCAAGGCCCTTCTATTATCCCAGAAGTTTAACACATTCGATGAAAAGTTTGCTATGAGATTATAGATGACAACAAATCGCAAAGCGATACTTTAAAATGAAATCTATATGTTCCATCCCTTGAAATTTAAACTTACATATAGGCATCAAATTATACAATGATTTAATTAACCTAATGTTATCAAAACTCTGAACTGTTGATGCTTAACATAATATGAATTCAGTGTTCCATCCCTTGAAATTTAGACTTACATATAGGCATCAAATTATACAATGATTTAATTAACCTAATGTTATCAAAACTCCAAGCTGTTGATGCTTAGATGAAATTTCTGACCACTGAATTCGTGATAATGTCCATCACAATACATGGAATTTCGAAATGGATCACGAGTCTGAAGAAATAATAAACTTCTTACACTACATGATTAAATATATAATGAAGACACGCCTGTGTAATTTATACGGACCTCATTCACAATCACTCAATAGAAGAACCAAACTTGTCTAAGGTGATAATACTGATTAACATCAAGGACACTCCTCGCATTCAAAAATTACCCTCTATCAATATCTGAGTTTTTGAAAGATGAAGATTAGTCTCTATGTACCTTCAAGGTTTATATTGCCCATGACATGCTCCCTTCAAAATTCCTCTTTCTCATGATATCTCATTAAGAGAACAACATTCCTTTTCCATTTCGATTACAGCATTATATAATCATGGAAAGAATTTAATAAAAACCATCAAATGCTAAATTTGCTAATGGCCCTTAACAAGTTAATGAAGTTGAGTTACTGCCCTATAAGCATTACCTATCAACAACTTAGGATCTCAATAATTTTAGTCTAATTACACAAAATACAAGCAATTATCCCTCGTCAACTGCACCTAGTGGACGATACAAAATTAAAAAAAAAAAAAACCTAAAAATCACTTTTTTCTCATCTCAGTCTGCATTTTTCTCACTATCCAAAGAGCGTAACTACTGAATTTTAACTTCCATAAAATAATCCATAGATTTATAAGCGAACAAAAATAAACGGAACAAATTCTGCCTAAATTTTGAGAGACGAAGATTTCAGCGGGTGCAGATACCGTGAGGGTGACGGCGTTTGAAGGACGGCGGTGATATGGGAGAGGAGGAGGAGGATCAGAACACCGCGGCGGCGGAGAACCGGATCCATCGTATCTCTGCCAGGTCCGCGGTGGAGGTGAACCGGATCCGATGGTTCTAATGGTTTGGGCCAAAGCGGTAAGATGAACCCGCGCCCACGCTTGATCCGAATAAACCGTATTTAGGCGATGGTTTTTATAATCGTGGAGTTTTGTTTAGATCCTAGTCCGTTGCATCTTTCATATTTTGATGATATTAGTCCCCCAATTTATTGTAATTGCTATTATAAGACTTTTGGATAGTCCCCCAATTGGCATTGGTTTGAATCTAGGGGAATTTTTCTTCAACTTCAATTGTTTAGGTTGAATGTCAGTTATATTCCTTTTTGTACAAACTTAAACGTCAAATGCCTAATCCATGGCGGGTGACTTGGAGGGTTAGGAGGTTTGAATGACTCATATGGTTTTGGGTTTGATTACAAGTTGGGTTTAAAAAAAACGTCAAATACCCATTTAGTTTATACTAGTTAACACCACCTAACATGTTTCAATAGCATCTAAACCTGCTTAAACATATACAATCTAGCTTAGGGTGTGTTTGGCAACTTCAAAATAAAAGTGGGGTCGGACTGGTTTTTTCTTAACGAGGTGAACCATATAAGGGTTCCAAAAAACTAGTTTAAGGATCCAAATTTTTGGCAAACAAAATATAAGAACTAGTTCGATTTGAAGTAGAAAAAAAACTAGTTTAAGGATCCAAATTTTTGGCAAACAAAATATAAGAACTAGTTCGATTTGAAGTAGAAAGAGGTAGTTCGATTTGGACCAAAATTTTGCCAAACTAAGCACAAAGTTTTTCTTGTCAATGTTGTACCATCTAAAATAAGTTTCGTAGAGTTGTCGAACACGTACATCAGCTCATTGTTTTAATATTTTTATACTTTAACATGAGTAATGGATATATTAACTTTGGAATTGGTCAAGGGTGTCTAGCCTAATCCTACTTTTTCTCATCCCTAGAATTCTAAAAAAAATAATCTTATTAGCTTTCTAAGAGGTTAGCGGACCACTAATCACCGTATTTATAATGAATTCGGTTGTTTATATTTATATTTTACTTGTTTGGATGACCAGTCGTATAATTAAATGATGTTGCTATTTTGTTGGCCCAACATCCGTTGCTGGCCCACTTGCTAAAAAGCTCAGTGCCCTACCTCTTTTAGCTGCCCTAGCCCATCTCTCATTGTCGGATGCCACTTCTCTCCTCTTCCCCCATCTCTTCAATGTCGGCAGCTTCTTCCCCATTCCAGTGTCCTGCTCTGCAGCCGCTGTGAGTCCCGTCTCACATCCTTGTAGGTCGGCTCCTACCATTTGAAACCCTAGGCTTCTCTCCCATGTCGGCTGCCTCCTTCTCTATTTAGGTCGAAGGGCTAGTAGTAGCTTGGGAGGGAAGAAGAAGGAGAAGAGAAGAAAAACTCCCAGTGAGCGTTGTGCTCTAGCTTTGTGCGATCCCCCTTCTTTCTGTGAGCTTTGTGCTCCTGTGAGCTTTGTGCTCTCACCCTTTGTGCGATCTCTTCACCTCTGTGAGTGATTTAGGTGCAGATCAGTGGCGAACTCTCCTTTGATCCTTGGTGGTGCACAAGTGAGAATTTGTGGTTGAAGATTTAGGCTTCTGAGCCAAACAGCGACGACGTCGATTCTCAACAGTGGTATCAGAGCCTCGTTGAGTCGTCGTCGTTCATGCCACCGGACTACCGTAAGACCACTGCCGGACCACTGCAGGAACGCCACCGGACCGCCGCGTGGGTAAGGTCGAAACCCTCTCCTAGGGTTTCGCTCAGGTGAATTGACTGAAAAACAAACTCTTATCAGTGTTTTCTTTCCGCTGCAGTTAAGCTCTGATTTTGTTAAAATTGTAGTAAATCTCTGGCCTTGTTGAAATTTGTAGTAAAATTTTGATTTTTTTTCTTTCGGCTATAGTTGCATTTTTATTTTTCTGAAAAAAATAGTTTCTGTTGTTGTTTGTGCTCGTGTGAAAGAACAAAGAGATTGAACTAAGAACTCTGCGTTCATCGTTCTTCTCATTTGTTCGTGCTAGTTGCTTCACACGTTTCGAGCTAGATAATTACCGAAATCAGATTTGTTCTTGCTAGTTGTTGTGTGTTTTTCTGTGTGAAAAATGTCTGCTGCTAATCAATATGGTATGGTTCCGCTCAACGAAAAATCTGATTTTAGCATTTGGAAACAAAAAATAAAATACATTTTAATTCAATAGAAGTCTTTTAGGGCTGTTGGTCAGACTTATTTGACTTCTGACACTGAAGAAAAAAGGGCTAAAATGAACAAAAATGCTTGTTTCACAATTTATTTGAACTTATCTGACTCTATGCTTAGAAAAGTTAGAATTTTGGAATCTGCTAAAACCCTTTGGGATAAACTTGAAGAACTCTATACTAAAACCTCTTTGCCCAGTAAAATATTTTTACTTGAAAAATTATTCAAATTTAGATTGGATATGTCTAAGGACATTGAGGAGAACCTAGATATATTTTTACTTGAAAAATTATTCAAATTTAGATTGGATATGTCTAAGGACATTGAGGAGAACCTAGATGTTTTCACAAATTTTTTTTCAGATATTAAGTTAACTGGTGATAAACATATAGACGACTATACTCTTATTGCCCTTCTAAATGCTATTCCTAACTCATATAGTGATGTGAAGTCTGCTATTAAATTTGGTAGAGATGAGGTTACCCTTGATATTATGGTCAATGGTCTTAAGAGTAAGGAATTAGATTTAAAACATTCTGGGAGAAATAAAAATTCTGGTGAGATTATGCATATGAGGGGTAGGCCTCAGAACAGGTCTAATAACCAAAAGAATGCTAGTAATGGTGAATCAAGTAAGAAAAATTTTAAAAATGGAAGAGGTAGATCTAAGTCCAGGTTTAAAGTTAAAAAATGCTATAATTGTCATGAAATTGATCACTTTATTAAAGATTGTCCTAAGCCTAAGAAAAGTCAGCAAAATGATCATGCTAATATGGTTGTTTGTGAGGGCAAAATGGGTGAAATTTTTATGATTAATAATCTTTGTGATTATGCATATTTGAACTCTGTGTTATGTGATTCTTTGTGTAAATCAGATTGGTTAGTAAACTATGGTTGTACTTTTCATATGACTCCTTTTAAATACTTGTTTTCAAACTACAATAAAATAGAGAATGACTTTGTGTCAATGGCAAATGAAAAGAAATACAATGTTTTAGGAACTGGTGAAGTATTCCTTAGGTTTTCTTTTGGTTCTGTGTTTACTTTGAAGGATGTTAGGTATGTTCCTAGCTTACGTTATAACTTGATTTATTGTGCATCTCTAAAAAATGATGGTTTGGAGGGAAAATGGGGTAAATGGGTTATGAAAATTCTGAAATGGTCTCTTATTTTTTTTTTTACTGCTGAAAAACAAAATAACTTGTATGTTTGTCATGCTAAACTTGTGCTTGATTCTGTTAACTCTGTGATAGGTGTTAAATCTGTTTTATGACATAATAGACTAGGTCACATGAGTAATAAAGGATTAGAACTTTTGTATAAAGGAGGTCACTTTGGTAGTGATAAAATATCCCCCATCCCTTTCTGTGAATCTTGTGTGCTAGGAAAATAACATAGGGTTAGTTTTCCTATTTCTTCTTTTCCTAATCAGTCTAACTGCACTAATGTTCTTGAATATTTGCATGCTGATGTGTGGGGTCCCTCTAGTGTGCCTACGCATAGAGGGAACCAATATTTTCTTTTCATAATTGATGATTATTCTAGGAAAATTTGGGTTTTACTCATGGAACAAAAATCTAAAGTTTTTGATAAATTAAAAAACTGGAAAATTATGATTGAAAACCAAATGGGAAAGAAAATTAAAACTCTTAGGACAGACAATGGTCTTGAGTTTTGTAACAAACAATTGAATGATTTGTGTGCTACTTGGGTATTAAAAGACATAAAACTGTTCTCTACACACCCCAGCAAAATGGGGTTGCTGAAAGGATGAATAGAACTCTCTTAGAGAGGGTGAGGGCTATGTTGGCCACATCCGGGCTCTCCAAGAAGTTCTGGAGAGAAGCTGTTTGTACTGCGACATATTTGATTAATAGGTCTCTTTCTATTCCCTTAGGAAGGAAATGCCCTGAATTTGTGTTCACGGGCAAACCTGTTGATTTAAATAATTTGAGAATTTTCAGAAGTGTTGGCTATGTGCATCAAAAGATTGATAAGTTAGAACCTAGATCTAAGAAATGTGTTTTCTTAGGATATCCTGAAGGGGTAAAAGGTTATAGGCTTTAGAATAAGAGTGAACCGGGGTTTAAGATAGTGATAAGCAGAGATGTTGTTTTTAATGAAAATGAATTTCCTTGTTTACCTTTACATGTCCCTATTCCTGAAAATGATGCTCCAAATGAAATAATATTGCGATTTTTGAACTGCAAATTTATTATGTCGCTGATATAGACGAGAATTTTTGTGACATGATAGATGAGATGGGAAATTGCATCTGTCCATGATTTACACATTTCAGCAAATTCAAGTTTAGTCACCAAATATCTGATATGCATCTACGATAATCAACAGTTTACTAATCAACTAAAGAAATTCTGGAAAGAAAATTCAAAAAATGTTAATCTACTACAGAAAGTTTTGAAAAATGTAAACCTCATTGACGGGAAGTTTGAAACAGAGCAACACATGAAGTTCAAGTTCACTATTAAAATAAGTAATATAGATTAGAGTAACATCTTCCTTGTTCGGCTTCTTTTGAGGCTATAACTTGTTCAGTGGATTAGGGAGAGAATAGCTTGCTCAGTGGATTGGAAGAGACCAGACAAGCTTTCAACAGATTCAAAACCTGCATCAAAGGGAATATAATACGAAAAAGGTTAGTTAGAAGATCAATATAATATGTAATTCTCAGGCCAAGAGTTTAGAAGTCTGGAAGAATTAAAACTCCTACCTCTGCTTCTCCAAGTTCAACCTCTTTCTCAACTAAGCTGCTGATGGGAACTTTGAGCTCTTTGATCGCACCAATTTCAGATACGAGTGATACTGGTTTGACATCCATCTCATTAGTAACCATGAACCTAACGGACCTCTTTGCATACCCCCCTCCATTTTCCGTACTTGAGTTTGGTTTCTTTGGATTTATTTCATTTGTATGCACAATATGTTTCTCGGACTTGCACTTTGTACCAAAGATGCCTATCCTCTTGTTCCAGCAAAGTTTGCATACACAACATCTGCCTGTCCTTGGAAGTTTTGCTTCAACTTTCAAAATCTGGTTGTCGCAGTTAAAATGTGGGTAGAATTTGGGAGACAATAACATGTCCTTGCACTCCTCCGATTTGATGTAATCACCTGTAGCAGCCAAAAGCTCCACGCTGTTATACAAGTTGTCGACACAGACAACAGAGGACTGACAGTTCAGGAGCTTCACTATTGATCCGAGTGGAAAGGTAAGGAAGGAGAGAAGGACATCTACAAAATCATTCCCTGCTACAGCATACACAGCCTCCTCTGTGACCTTGTCCTCAACGACCTTCACACGTATTCTTCGGGATTGAATAGCTTCATTGTTAACTTCCGATTTGGTTTGAGCAGTCTCTACAATGTCATTTTCTTCTTTGTGAATGTTCACTGATTCTTTCTTCTGCAAGAAAACATCTGTAAATGGCATCTTTGACAGCAGTAGGCTCTTCAGTAGACTTAAAACCTGACCATCGCCAAAAAACAAATCAGAATTATAACATGTATGGAGTTAAAATGTTTCATTACAGTGTCGGAGAAACATGCAGATTCAACTGCAGCAAACCTAACATGTATGGAGTTAAAATGTTTCATTACAGTGTCGGAGAAACATGCAGATTCAACTGCAGCAAACCAATTTTCAGCTATTTTGCTTGCTGCACTTGGAATTTCTACTGAAATATTTTTTTTTAGGATTAGTTTTCCCAAAGTTGTGATCAAATCGGTTGCAGGTCTGTTGTTGTAGTTGCCAGTTGGAAATTATTGAAATAAATCATAGATTGCCAATCAGCATAAATGAATTTTCTCTATTGGAACATCACTTTTCTAATTATACAAATTATCAGATACATATGCTCCAACTGATTATGTAAGCTAATCATATCATACTCTCTTTAAAAACACGAGTTCGGGAAAATCTTTCAGTAGACAAAAATACTCTTGGAATTTAAATATTAATCCATTAAATAAGAGTAAGTTGATAAATTGATGAATTCTTATTGGATATACATAATATGAAAATAAGGATACAGTTTAAATTGAAATGTAAATCTAAATAAAATTATTAAATGCCAAATTCACAAATATCTACAAAATAAAGGGCGTATATGCAAAAATCAAACAAGTTAATGAGACAAATAATGTCTGCCCCAAGCTCAGACCTACAAATGTACATAGTGTGGATGAGATATTTATAAAATCTACCAAACAAATTAAAGAGACAAAAGTCATTCTCAAAATTATAAAAAAGTAAAATTAAGGAAAATAAAAATCATACTCCCTTTAAAAGCATGAGTTCGGGAAAAGCTTTCCATAGTCAAAATTATCATGTACTATTTTAAATATTTAATTTAAATTATAATCTATCTAATCATAGTTATATTCTATCCTAATACCCCATGAACTATCTATAGCTCAATAATTTAAATAAGATTAATAAAGTATATGAAACATCTATGTGGTATTAGTTTATTACATGAAGTATTTAAAAAAAAGTGAAAAGTTTTAAAAATTAGACAAAATACTCTCAAAAGTTTAAAATTACACAAAATAAAAAGCTTAAATTTTAAAACTTGACAAAGAAAAGAGTAATTGTTTGATAATTTTTTATTAAGATATATAAATGTAACTTATAATTTAAGGTTTACTATTCTTTTTCAGAATCTACAAATAGTCAAGTTGATGTTGGTAAAAAAAGCAATAATAACAGATTAAAAATATCCAGTCAACGAATAAAAAATTTAAAAATATATGATAAATTAAAAATTAATGTTATTATATAAATTAAAGTAATTGCATATAACTTTACAAATATGTTAGAGCGGGAAAAATACATAAGTATTATTAATTGATAGAAGACTAAATTATAAAAAACTAATAAAAGAGTATAATATAATAGCTTAACATTAATTGATTATAATTTATAAATATTGATCTCTAATGGTAATAATATTTATAGGGTAAAAAGTTTCAAAGATTTATGTATGGAGAACTATTAGAAAATTTAGAGATATCCTTCAAAAGAATCAAGCAGTTTTTATTTCAAATGGAATTCGAAACGTCCATGAATCACTTCAATTAACACTAACATAAGTTATATTTATCAAAGAAGCACCGACTGAATTCCCCCTGAAGAATATAATGAGCAACTTTGTTCCAATCAAAGAAACATTTTTTATGGAAGATAAAAAAAATTACTATGTCATGACTCTGCGTAAGCAAAAAAATATAAAATCGCCATTTTTTTTTCTTATATAGTATCACGATCCTACGTGTGACTTTATTTAGAGGTATGACTACTAATGAAGGGTCAATTCTTAAAGACATGTTCAAAGATAATGATGTAATAGCACTATTAGATTTCAAAATCTCTAAATATGAAGGTAATATATATCATTACTAAAATTCTTAATAAAGGCCACTAAATATAAAATGCACCTTATATCCATCTCAAATTTATAGAGGAGATATGCATGTCATCGTAAAGTGCGTCAATAATATATATCAACCCAAAGATATAACTTACTGAAGAACAAGAGAATAGTAAGTAAATCAAGCAAACATCCATATAACACCGTAAAAAATATTTTATTTTAAAGCTAATATGCAGCACTCTTTCAGAGTAAGCTACCAAGACAAAAGCATCTTCATTAAGGCTCATTATAAATACAACAGAAATTCAAATTACTAATATATACAACCATTATAACATTCGAAAGAGGTATGATCTTAAAAACCTACTCTAAAATTCATACAATTAAACCTAAGAATAATTTACGAATATACAGACACAGTAGCGCACCTTTAAGACAACAATAAAGGTTCTATGTTTACAAAGGCTGTAATAAGAAAGTGGATAGAGATGTTAATAATAAGTGTCCAAATGATAAATGTTGTAGAATCGTCATGATGTAGTATCAAGGTTAAGTGATATCCCTTTTTCATGAAATAAATATATCAAAATTAAATATTAATATTATAATCTAAAATAAATTGATAATAAAAAATGTAATGTATTTAGTTCAAATCCTCATAGAAAATGACACAGACAGAGCAAAGGTAATATTATGACATAACAGAAATTCTTATTGGATGCACGATAGAAGACTTCATTGCAGAGAAAAAAGAGGTAGCTCCTAACCTTATTTAAGTAATAAATTAAAAGCGCAAAAATTTTCATATATATGAAATTAACATTTATTCTTATTGAAATTAAAAAAAATCAAAGTCCTTATTGTCAGAATTTTGTGTTGAACATAAGAAATATATTCAACTTCTTTGTGAATTTAGACATGAATTTAGACGAGAAGACAAAAGATGAATGATCCCAAAGAAAGATAACATGCTCCAGCCTCATATCACAGTCAATGTAAACGATGAAAACACTAATCTAGAATTTCCTACGGAAAGATAAAGATGAAGAAGGATTGATCTCGACTCAATAAACGATAAAATAGAAGCAACAAAAGATAATGTTTTGTGAATTGTTATAGAATAGTTTAATTTTTTAGTAAAATTATGAATCTTTAGAAGAGATTTTCATAAACTTTTTTAGTGTTTTCATATGCATATGTGGATGTTTTTATCATATAAAAGTATACTAGAGTTAGCATTAATCGCTCTGTTTCATGCCAATCCAAATAAAATAAAAATTTTAATTGGATTTAGATTATATTCATCTCTTGATAATTCAACTATCAACATAAAAAAGTTAAACTGGGTGTAGCCTATTCAAACAAACATCAAATAAATAAATAATCAAAGTGTAATCGAGGAATAAGTTTTAGTAAGAAAATAAACCAAAAATACTTAAACTAAAGCGAGCAAAAAATTATCAAAGTGTAACCGAGGAATAAATTTTAATAAGAAAATAAACTAAAAATGCCTAATAACAGCATTTAACCACGTGCATTGCAAGTGCATAAAATCTAGTTAATAGGAAAAGTGACACTGCAGTTTAGGACTTCTTTTACAATTTAGGAAAAGGAGAGCGGCAAAGAAAACTTCGGAACTGAAAGATCTTAAAAGGCATGCCATGAACACATGTTTTAATTTTTACGTGCCAAGTTTAAATTTTAATTAGTCATAAATAACTCTAAGAATATATAAAATTGACTACGGAAAGATGGTTTGATTACAACTTTCTTACCTCGCTTCTGCCAACGTGCACGATCCTTTCCTCAAGAACATCTGCATCTTCTATCCCTTGATTCTGAAGCAAAGAGACGGTAGTAATGGCAGTAGCACGTGTTACGCGCAAGTCATCTGTAATAACATACGTCGCTGCTTCTTTCAGAAAAACGCTGTTCTTCGCATTATTCTCCTGTTTTACCCAGCTGAAACATTGATCCATTGCCTTCCCACAGAGGCAGGGAGTACAGAGAAACGAGCTATAAAGCTTATTCTTGATGAAGCAACCAAATGTGGGGCACCTGTAGAGTCGCCGGGGCATTAAGACGTCAGCATTGACGACCAAGTCCTCGCACAGTATTTCTGCTTCACTTCTGGGCCAGAGCAGCATCATCTTACAAGCTACGGTCTCCAGACACTTGTAGTCGAGATTCTCCACGCTCATGTACAAATTGTCCATGCATCCAACCGATGACTCCTTGTTGAGGAGTCTGATAATAGTCCCCATTGGCAACGTCAAGAAGCTAAAAAGAATATCTACGAACTCCTTCTCTGATTCGGCAAACACCACCCTGTTCCTTTTTGTGTCCACGACGAGCTTCAACGTGACAGTAGGCATCTTGCTCAACGACTCCGAAGAAGAAGAGGCTTCTTTTGCTGTTATGACAAATACCCAAGAAAAACAAATAACGATCGGACGAAAGCACAGAAAATATCGAGAAAACAAAACGCAGCAGATATCACTTACGTACGCGGGGATCTCTCCACCCTAAAACCCAGTACAATCTTTCCTCTGAAACTTAAGTTCTTCTCAGGAAACTTTGATGTTCTCTGGCTATTTTTTTGGCGTTGTAATAAAGGCGTATATATAGAATTGACCAGGCCCAATTTGAATAGGATTAGAACACTCTTGGTGATCCAAATTAACTAAACTTGTACTGATACCGGGACTTGTGTTTAAGTCCCTGCAACACACAAATCCCAATTCTCATCAATTTTCTACCAATAGGAATCCAATTCCTGTTAGGACTTCAATCCAATTCAACTAACCCATCGCCAAAGCCAACTCAAACAGCAAAGTTCTCTTGGGGTTCAAACTCTCCAGACGAAGGAAGTCATCGATATATACTACTCCAGTACTCACACTTTCTTCTTTTCTTGATTCTCTAAAGTCCTCCTTCAGTTATACTTGGAACTTTAGAAAGTGCGGTAATCCTCTGTTAGAATTTCTTACCTGCAAACCATTTAATTTTTTCTGTTTCTTTTGGCTCTCTTTTAAGTCTTAAAGATTGTTTTACCATATGATATGATGCAGAAAAGTCCTTTCAAATCTTCTAGATATTAGGAAGGCAAAAAATTGCTAAGTTGATTTCTATGCAGAACCCCAATTAAATAGCTTGTTTGAATCATATAATCTGTGCCCCCGAGATGAACCATGATGTTATCTACATACACACTGCACATTATGCGTATCGACAATTAGTAGTTAGTTGCGTTAATACTATTAGCTTATCTCAGTGGGTCCAACAATTAAAAGTATTTTTATATTATTTTGATAATTAATATCATTCATGAAGCGCACTGAGTGAAATTTTTTTATTGGTGAGTTGTAAAGAGTATCTGCATCAAGGATAGAGGACCTCCGCTGCGCAATTTCACACCAAAAGAGCAACTACAATAACAACCAAATCTTCAAATTCAGGTGTTAGTTCCTAACATAAAACAACTAATCCATGATTGCCAACATTTCGATATCATAATCTGTCAGTGCTGGACTAACTAGTGTGTGCGTTTTTCCCCCCTTTTTTTAATCATCACATTCACAAAGGAAGAATACGGTCAAAAATAAGAAAAGAGAGGGAGAGTTTAACCGACCCCACTTTAAAAATGCGATCCATTGAAAGCTTGTACTCTGAATAATTTCAGTTGTGTTTTTATCAGAACTAATTCCTTTTATTTTCAAGCCGTTGTTGTTCATTCTAATTCATTGGATCATGTCTTTTCCAAGAGATCATCTGCTCCATAAGTAATACATAATGTGTTATCAGGCAATTATTGGTTAGATCTTTATCATTATGCTTACCCTTAATTAGGATACTCAAAAATGAATGTCCTGGTTCACTTTCCTTGTCTACTTTCCTACCTCATCCTACAGTTAAACATAATCATGCTCTATTAACCATCAGCAGCTCTTTTATGACGTCCAACCTCTCTAAATAAATTTACCAGGATTGCTACTATGTACTTTTTGCCTTTTTTTTTTTGCCTTTTTTTTGGGATAAATCGGTGGGACTTCCCCTGCATTTCATTAAAAAGAGTTTAACGAAACATATAGATACAAAACATTGCACTCTCCTCACAAAATACAAAAGTAATACAAAAGGCGATATAGGCATAGCAGCAGTGAAGCTCAATAGAGAAGTGCAAAGGCCAAGTGAGGGACTACGCGCTATAAGATCCACCTTCTTGGTAACCCAATGATACATCAATGTCCTACAACCTTCTGTCATCATAGTCGTCATGAACATTGCTGCATAAGTCGACATGAGTAAACCGTATGATAGCTCTGTCCCTTTGCCTCATCTAACAATGAACATGTCTAGAGCATAAAAAGAAAAAGCATGTGAAGAAATGTACATGATGCAGATCTTGTACTATTTCCAAAAATTCTATTATTTCCCTCATGTCAGACCGCCCATCAAGAGGCCACTATAATTGAGCAACATAAAGATTGATCTCTTTTATTCTAGTTTTGATCCAAGCAGACCAAATATCACATAAAGATCTTAGCTGATCAACACCACTGAAGTACAATCTAATATTTTCACAGAGAACATTCATAAAAAGATAATGGAGGAATAAATATTCTACTATTTCAGCATTTAAAAGATAGAGGACACAGACATTAGGTCCTTGTCATCTATGCTTCATCAGGTTGTCCCACGTCAGGATAGCATTTCTAATGGCAAGCCACAAAAATGCTTTCATAGGTACTCTAGATGTCCATATAACTTAGCCATTTCTGATTTACCCCCACCTAAATATATTTATCTATACCAAGTAACAAGTATAAACTGAAATTTGCTTTACTCACTGAATATCTGATAATTGAGATGTTTCTGGAAATTTGACTTTACTCGCGAAATATCTGATCTATCTTCAACTATCAACAGTTTACGCACAAAGGTCTCATTCAACTAAAGAGATTTCAAAAAGAAAAAAATTGCATTATATTATATTAAATAAACTACTAGATTACCATCAAAAGTTCTGACCTTATTGGCAGAAAGTTTGAGACATATTAAAACATTAAATGCAAGTTCACTAGTAAAGTAAAGGTTATAGCTTAGAATGCCTTCCTCAGCTTCTTAGGAGAGAATACTTTGTTCAGTGGATTGGAAGATCATACGACCTTTCAACAGATTCAAAACCTGCATCACAGCGAATATAGAAGGAAATAGTTAGTTTAACAAGATTAATATAAGATGCAATTCTCAGAGTGAAAAGTTTTAGAATTGTGGAATAATAAGAAAACTTCACTTCTGATTCTCCAAGTTCCAGCTCCTTCTCAACTAAGTTGTTAACGGTAGCTCCAAGCTCTTTGATCACACCAATTCCAGAAATTAGTGAAACTGGCGTGGCAGCTATCTCATTAGGAACGATGAACCTCACTAACCTGTTTGCATATCCCCTGCCACATTCTGTACCAGATACCGGTAACTTCGGATTTATTTCATTTAATGTCACGCTACCTATATTATGCTTGCACTTACCCCTCCCCACATGCCAGCAATTTTCGCATCCTACAGCACTGCTTGTCTTTGGCATATGCTTGCACTTACCCCTCCCCACATGCCAGCAATTTTCGCATCCTACAGCACTGCTTGTCTTTGGCAGGTTCGCTTCAGTTCTAAGAATCTGGTTGTTGCTTTTAAAATGTGGGTAGTGGTGATTGCATTGTCTCCGAGGAACGCAAGAAAAAAAACTTACTGATCCTAAGATTCCTCTTCACATTAGATGCAATGATTCTCTGTTCAGTTTTGATGACAAGCCAATCTGTAATAGCACTGAAATAAATACCGAGTTGCGCATGCCAGGGACGGGAATAGGAGGGCGTTTTCAAACAGGTTTGTTAAATTTACAGTCATGGATGAGATGGTTGCGACACACCCCTCCCTCTATGCAGTGTCGAAATCTTCAAGGAATTGAAAGTACTAATTGGCACTATGGTAGAGGGGAAGGTAACTCTGGGCGAAACAGAGGTGTGAAAATGCTTTTATCACATGGTTTCTTAAAGAAAAGTCTATCAATCCTCCAGAAGATTACCCAACTTATTATTCTTTCATTATTTTGTGGTGCAGGATTTGAACCTGTTGAAAGCTTGTTTGATCTCTCGTTCAGCTCTGAGCATCGTCTTCAGTCCAAGAGAAAGCAATGCGCTGATCTTGCAGGAGTTGTATATCTTGATCTAGTGCGTTTGCAGCATTAGGCATCCGCAGACATTTTATGATTCCTATTGTGGTGCTGAGCTTCCACAGACTTTGTTCTTTAAGACCCATTATCAAATTTTATGTTGTTTGAAGTCGAACATTACCATTTATGTTTCCAAGTCTCAAGTTTTGTTTTGTTTCTTAAAGGTGAGCTCAAGTTATGTTAATTTTGTTACCAAATAAGTCAATTCAGTCTAAATGATATATTAAATCCAGTTCTTATGTCTACGTGTGCCTTATAAATGTTCTACAAATTATGTTTGAAAAGCCATTTCCTGTCTCTTCATTCACCTAGCTGCATATGTTCTATACATTAGGACAAAGGTCACTCAAGCATAGTTTGGGGGACTACAAAGTATTAAACAGCAGTACTATTGGACATGTTTCATTCTTGGTGTTTTTTTTAATGACAATGGATAGCATCCAAATTTAGTTGGTGGTTCTTGTATTCATGCATTTCAGTCATTCCAAAAGTAGAAGGGTGCATCTTACTTGGAATTAGAAATAATTTGTCTTCTACAGGAAAAACAAAAGCATTTTCTCAATAATCTCTATAAACAAAACTAAATTAATCAAATAATTATGTTTAAAAGGGGCACTAAAAATAATAAAAATTTTACTTGTACATGCTTGGAATTTCATGTTAGTGGAAGCATTATTGCCTTCCTTCATCCGTCCAGCTCTCCCAGCCTCTTCTAGTTCAAACATTTATGTGACTCAACTTTTTTGGGCCTGCACCTAGTTGGAGTTCTTGATTGGTGAAAAGCATTTCAAAGAAATACATAAAAATGCACAGACTCAAATTCCACATGAACAGAGAATTATCATAGACAGGACACAAACTGAACCTAGAAAAAGAACTTAAGTTGTACTGTTCAATTGACCAAGGCCCTTCTACTATCCCAGAAGTTTAACACATTCGATGAAAAGTTTGCTATGAGATTATAGATGACACTAAATGGCAAAGCGATACTTTAAAATGAAATCTATATGTTCCATGCCTTGAAATTTAAACTTACATATAGGCATCAAATTGTACAATGATTTAATTAACCTAATGTTATCAAAACTCTCAACTGTTGATGCTTAACATAATATGAATTCAGTGTTCCATCCCTTGAAATTTAGACTTACATATAGGCATCAAATTATACAATGATTTAATTAACCTAATGTTATCAAAACTCTAAGCTCTTCGTTGACATATTCCTCCAACTTAGGAGTGAAGGAATCATATGTTGTTAGATACATCAATGGTTTTCTGATCCTCTCCACTACAAAAAAAATAGTGGAGGGACCACTACATAATCACGGCCATTGATTATCTAGTTAATGGTTGTGATTTTTTCTTTTAGTGCAAATTAGGAATGAGTGCAATACACGGGGGTATGATAAGTGTTAGATTTAGATTGTATCATAACCGCCTACTAAATAATCAACGATTGAGATTAAAAGCAGTGGTCTCTCCACTACTTTTTTGTAGTGGAGAGGATCCAAATCCTTCGATTACAGCGTTATATAATCATGGAAAGAATTTAATAAAAACCATCAAATGTTAAATTTGCTAATGGCCCTTAACAAGTTAATGAAGTTGAGTTACTGCGCTATAAGCATCACCTATCAACAACTTAGGATCTCAATAATTTTAGTCTAATTACACAAAATACAAGCAATTATCCCTCGTCAACTGCACCTAGTGGACAATACAAAATTTTAAAAAAAAAAACTAAAAATCACTTTTTTCTCATCTCAGTCTGCATTTTTCTCACTATCCAAAGAGCGTAACTTCTGAATTTTAACTTCCATAAAATAATCCATAGATTTATAAGCGAACAAAAATAAACGGAACAAATTCTGCCTAAATTTTGAGAGACGAAGATTTCAGCGGGTGCAGATACCGTGAGGGTGATGGCGTTTGAAGGACGGCGGTGATATGGGAGAGGAGGAGGAGGATCAGAACACCGCGGCGGCGGAGAACCGGATCCATCGTATCTCTGCCAGGTCCGCGGTGGAGGTGAACCGGATCCGATGGTTCTAATGGTTTGGGCCAAAGCGGTAAGATGAACCCGCGCCACGCTTGATCCGAATAAACCGTATTTAGGCGATGGTTTTTATAATCGTGGAGTTTTGTTTAGATCCTAGTCCGTTGCATCTTTCATATTTTGATGATATTAGTCCCCCAATTTATTGTAATTGCTATTATAAGACTTTTGGATAGTCCCCCAATTGGCATTGGTTTGAATCTAGGGGAATTTTTCTTCAACTTCAATTGTTTAGGTTGAATGTCAGTTATATTCCTTTTTGTACAAACTTAAACGTCAAATGCCTAATCCATGGCGGGTGACTTGGAGGGTTAGGAGGTTTGAATGGCTCATATGGTTTTGGGTTTGATTACAAGCTGGGTTTAAAAAAACGTCAAATACCCATTTAGTTTATACTAGTTAACACCCCCTAACTTGTTTCAATAGCATCTAAACCTGCTTAAACATATACAATCTAGCTTAGAGTGTGTTTGGCAACTTCAAAATAAAAGTGGGGCCGGACTGGTTTTTTCTTAACGAGGTGAACCATATAAGGGTTCCAAAAAAACTAGTTTAAGGATCCAAATTTTTGGCAAACAAAATATAAGAACTAGTTCGATTTGAAGTAGAAAGAGGTAGTTCGATTTGGACCAAAATTTTGCCAAACTAAGCACAAAGTTTTTCTTGTCAATGTTGTACCATCTAAAATAAGTTTCGTAGAGTTGTCGAACACGTACATCCACAAAGTTTTTCTTGTCAATGTTGTACCATCTAAAATAAGTTTCGTAGAGTTGTCGAACACGTACATCGGCTCATTGTTTTAATATTTTTATACTTTAACATGAGCAATGGATATATTAACTTTGGAATTGGTCAAGGCTGTCTAGCCTAATCCTACTTTTTCCCATCCCTAGAATTCTAAAAAAATAATCTTATTAGCTTTCTAAGAGGTTACCGGACCACTAATCACCGTATTATAATGAATTCGGTTGTTTATATTTATATTTTACTTGTTTGGATGACCAGTCGTATAATTAAATGATGTTGCTATTTTGTTGGCCCAACATCCGTTGCTGGCCCACTTGCTAAAAAGCTCTGTCCCCTACCTCTTTTAGCTGCCCTAGCCCATCTCTCATTGTCGGATGCCACTTCTCTCCTCTTCCCCCATCTCTTCAATGTCGGCAGCTTCTTCCCCATTCCAGTGTCCTGCTCTGCAGCCGCTGTGAGTCCCGTCTCACATCCTTGTAGGTCGGCTCCTACCATTTGAAACCCTAGGCTTCTCTCCCATGATGGCTGCCTCCTTCTCTATTTAGGTCGAAGGGCTGGTAGTAGCTTGGGAGGGAAGAAGAAGGAGAAGAGAAGAAAAACTCCCAGTGAGCGTTGTGCTCTAGCTTTGTACGATCCCCCCTTCTTTCTGTGAGCTTTGTGCTCCTGTGAGCTTTGTGCTCTCACCCTATGTGCGATCTCTTCACCTCTGTGAGTGATTTAGGCGCAGATCAGTGGCGAGCTCTCCTTTGATCCTTGGTGGTGCACAAGTGAGAATTTGTGGTTGAAGATTCAGGCTTCTGAGCCAAACAGCGACAACGTCGATCCTCAACAGTGGTATCAGAGCCTCGTTGAGTCGTCGTCGTTCATGCCACCGGACTACCGTAGGACCACCGTTGGACCGCTGCAAGAACGCCACCGGACCGCCGCGTGGGTAAGGTCGAAACCCTCTCCTAGGGTTTCGCTCAGGTGAATTGACTGAAAAACAAACTCTTATCAGTGTTTTCTTTCCGCTGCAGTTAAGCTCTGATTTTGTTAAAATTGTAGTAAATTTCTGGCCTTGTTGAAATTTGTAGTAAATTTTTGATTTTTTTTCTTTCGGCTATAGTTGCGTTTTTATTTTTTTGAAAAAATAGTTTCTGTTATTGTTTGTGCTCGTGTGAAAGAACAAAGAGATTGAACTAAGAACTCTGCGTTCATCGTTGTTCTCATTTGTTCATGCTAGTTGCTTCACACGTTTCGAGCTGGATAATTACCGAAATCAGATTTGTTCTTGCTAGTTGTTGTGTGTTTTTCTGTGTGAAAAATGTCTGTTGCTAATCAATATGGTATGATTCCGCTCAACGAAAAATCTGATTTTAGCATTTGGAAACAAAAAATAAAATGCATTTTAATTCAATAGAAGTCTTTTAGGGCTGTTGATCAGGCTTATTTGACTTCTGACACTGAAGAAAAAAGGGCTGAAATGAACAAAAATGTTTGTTTCATAATTTATTTGAACTTATCTGACTCTATGCTTAGAAAAGTTAGAATTTTGGAATCTGCTAAAACCCTTTGGGATAAACTTGAAGAACTCTATACTAAAACCTCTTTGCCCAGTAAAATATTTTTACTTGAAAAATTATTCAAATTTAGATTGGATATGTCTAAGGACATTGAGGAGAACCTAGATATTTTCACAAAACTTTTTTCAGATATTAAGTTAACTGGTGATAAACATATAGACGACTATACTCTTATTGCCCTTCTAAATGCTATTCCTAACTCATACAGTGATGTGAAGTCTGCTATTAAATTTGGTAGAGATGAGGTTACCCTTGACATTATGGTCAATGGTCTTAAGAATAAGGAATTAGATTTAAAACATTCTGGGAGAAATAAAAATTCTGGTGAGATTATGCATGTGAGGGGTAGGCCTCAGAACAGGTCTAATAACCAAAAGAATGCTAGTAATGGTGACTCAAGTAAGAAAAATTTTAAAAATGGAAGAGGTAGATCTAAGTCCAGGTTTAAAGTTAAAAAATGCTATAATTGTCATGAAACTGATCACTTTATTAAAGATTGTTCTAAGCCTAAGAAAAATCAGCAAAATGATCATGCTAATATGGTTGTTTGTGAGGGCAAAATGGGTGAAATTTTCATGATTAATAATCTTTGTGATTATGCATACTTAAACTCTGTGTTATGTAATTCTTTGTGTAAAACAGATTGGTTAGCAAACTCTGGTTGTACTTTTCATATGACTCCTTTTAAATACTTGTTTTCAAACTACAATAAAATAGAGAATGACTTTGTGTCAATGGCAAATGAAAAGAAATGCAATGTTTTAGGAACTGGTGAAGTATGCCTTAGGTTTTCTTTTGGTTCTGTGTTTACTTTGAAGGATGTTAGGTATGTTCCTAGCTTACGTTATAACTTGATTTATTGTGCATCTCTAGAAAATGATTGTTTGGAGGGAAAATGGGGTAAATGGGTTATGAAAATTCTGAAATGGTCTCTTGTTTTTTTTACTGCTGAAAAACAAAATAACTTGTAAGTTTGTCATGCTAAACTTGTGCTTGATTCTGTTAACTCTGTGATAGGTGATAAATCTGTTTTATGACATAATAGACTAGGTCACATGAGTAATAAAGGATTAGAACTTTTGTATAAAGGAGGTCACTTTGGTAGTGATAAAATATCCCCCATCCCTTTCTGTGAATCTTGTGTGCTAGGAAAATAACATAGGGTTAGTTTTCCTATTTCTTCTTTTCCTAATCAGTCTAAGTGCACTAATATTCTTGAATATTTGCATGCTGATGTGTGGGGTCCCTCTAGTGTGCCTACGCATAGAGGGAACTAATATTTTCTTTTCATAATTGATGATTATTCTAGGAAAATTTGGGTTTTACTCATGGAACAAAAATCTAAAGTTTTTGATAAATTAAAAAACTGAAAAATTATGATTGAAAACCAAATGGGAAAGAAAATTAAAACTCTTAGGACAGACAATGGTCTTGAGTTTTGTAACAAACATTGAATGATTTGTGTGCTACTTGGGTATTAAAAGGCATAAAACTGTTCTCTACACACCCCAGCAAAATAGGGTTGCTGAAAGGATGAATAGAACTCTCTTAGAGAGGGTGAGGGCTATGTTGGCCACATCCGGGCTCTCCAAGAAGTTCTGGGGAGAAGCTGTTTGTACTGCGACATATTTGATTAATAGGTCTCCTTCTGTTCCCTTAGGAGGGAAATGCCATGAATTTGTGTTCACGGGCAAACCTCTTGATTTAAATAATTTGAGAATTTTCGTAAGTCTTGGCTATGTGCATCAAAATATTGATAAGTTAGAACCTAGATCTAAGAAATGTGTTTTCTTAGGATATCCTGAAGGGGTAAAAGGTTATAGGCTTTGGAATAAGAGTGAACCGGGGTTTAAGATAGTGATAAGCAGAGATGTTGTTTTTAATGAAAATGAATTTCCTTGTTTACCTTTACATGTCCCTATTCCTGAAAATGATGCTCCAAATGAAATAATATTGCGATTTTTGAACTGCAAATTTATTATGTCGCTGATATAGACGAGAATTTTTGTGACATGATAGATGAGATGGGAAATTGCATCTGTCCATGATTTACACATTTCAGAAAATTCAAGTTTAGTCACAAAATATCTGATATGCATCTACGATAATCAACAGTTTACTAATCAACTAAAGAAATTTCTAGAAAAAAAATTCAAAAAATGTTAATCTACTACAGAAAGTTTTGAAAACTGTAAACCTCATTGACGGGAAGTTTGAAACAGAGCAACACATGAAGTTCAAGTTCACTATTAGAATAAGTAATATAGATTAGAGTAACATCTTCCTTGCTCGGCTTCTTTTGAGGCTGTAGCTTGTTCAGTGGATTAGGGAGAGAATAGCTTGCTCAGTGGATTGGAAGAGACCAGACAAGCTTTCAACAGATTCAAAACCTGCATCAAAGGGAATATAATACGAAAAAGGTTAGTTAGAAGATCAATATAATATGTAATTCTCAGGCCAAGAGTTTAGAAGTATGGAAGAATTAAAACTCCTACCTCTGCTTCTCCAAGTTCAACCTCTTTCTCAACTAAGCTGCTGATGGGAACTTTGAGCTCTTTGATCGCACCAATTTCAGATACGAGTGATACTGGTTTGACATCCATCTCATTAGTAACCATGAACCTAACAGACCTCTTTGCATACCCCCCTCCACTTTTCGTACTTGAGTTTGCCTTCTTTGGATTTATTTCATTTATATACACAGTGCCTACCCTCTTGTTCCCGAAAAGTTTGCATCCATAAAATCTGGCTCTCCTTGAAAGTTTCGCTTCAACTTTCAAAATCTGGTTGTCGCAGTTAAAATGTGGGTATAATTTGGGAGACAATAACATGTCCTTGCACTCCTCCGTTTTGATGCAATCGCCTGTAGCAGCCAAAAGCTCCACGCTGTTATACAAGTTGTCAACACAGACAACAGAGGACTGATGGTTCAGGAGCTTCACTATTGATCCGAGTGGGAAGGTAAGGAAGGAGAGAAGGACATCTACAAAATCATTCCCCGCTTCAGCAAACACAGCCTCCTCTGTGACCTTGTCCTCAACGACCTTCACACGTATTCTTCGGGATTGAATAGCTTCATTCTTAACTTCCGATTTGATTTGAGCAGTCTCTACCATGTCATTTTCTTCTTTGTGAATGTTCACTGATTCTTTCTTCTGCAAGAAAACATCTGTAAATGGCATCTTTGACAGCAGTAGGCTCTTCAGTAGACTTAAAACCTGAACATCGCCAAAAAAACAAATCAGAATTGTAACATGTATGGAGTTAAAAGGTTTCATTACGGTGTTGGAGAAACATGCAGATTCTACAGCAGCAAACCAATTTTCAGCTATTTTGCTTGCTGCATTTGGGAGTTGCATACTGAATTCTTTTTTTTAAGGATTAGTTTTCCCAAAGTTGCGATCAAATCGGTTGCAGGTTTGTTGTTGTAGTTGCCAGTTGGAAATTATTGAAATAAATCATAGATTGCCAATCAGCATAAATGAATTTTCTCTGTTGGAATATCACTTTTCTAAATATACAAATTATCAGATGAAGAAATTACAGAAACTCAGAAGAATCAGGCAAACCAGACGGCGGTCGACCGGTCCGGTCGACCGGATTCGTGCACAAAGCTTACTGTGCGTCAGGAAGGTGGTCGGTCGACCGGTGCGGTCGACCGAGGGGTTCTCTGGAGTTTGGGTTTTCTACTAGGAGCTGGTCGGTCGACCGGGCCGGTCGACCGGAATTGATCGCGGTCGACCGACCCGGTCGACCGACGCTGTTTTGGGCTGGGCTTTCAGGTTTTCGACCCGATTCGTTTTGTAAGTTCTATATATACCTAAACCTGTTTGTTTAGGGTAGAGGTTGGACGAATTTGAGCAGCCAAAGAGAGAGAATAATTGCATCCAATTGTGAGAGAGCTTTGAGAGATCTAGAGCTTTGTTTTAGGGTTTGGTCTAAGAGATTTGTAACCCTATTTGTATTCTCTTGATTTCTAGTAGAAAGAACTCCCCCCTCCTTGCCCCGTGGACGTAGGCAACTTGCCGAACCACGTAAATTCTTGTTCTTGCTGTGATTGTGGTTTGCATATTATTTGTGGTTTAGTTCAAGTTAGTGTTCGTGTTGCCCTAGAAAGCTTCCGCCGCGCACAACAATTGGTATCAGAGAGAGAATAATTACATCCAATTGGTATCAGAGCTAGATCGACAACATGGGAGATGCAAGCACGTCAGGTTCGTCTCTAACAAAGGCAATACAGAGTCTGAGCATCAATAACACGAAGATTGATGTTCCAAAGTTCGATGGCAAGATCAATTTTGGATTGTGGAGGTGTCAGGTGATGGATGCTTTGGATGCACAGAATTTGGAGGAGACTCTTGAGTTAAAAGAGAAACCCGCTGAGTTGGAGGATAAGGTTTGGAGAAAGATGAACAGTAGAGCTTGTGGTGTTATTAGGTCATGCTTGACGCCGGATCTTATTTATGATGTTATGAACGAGACGTCGGCGAAGAAGATGTGGGAAACACTCAATGAGAAATATCTTACGAAGAGCATTGAGAATCGGCTTCACTTGAAGAAGAGATTTTACCAGTTCAAGATGAAGAGAGGGGTTTCCATCAGGGAGCATGTCAACAATTTCACTAAGCTACTTTCAGATATGGCCAATGTTGATATTATAGTTGAGGATGAAGACAAGGCGATGCTACTTCTGTGTTCGTTGCCCGAAGATGATTATGGTACGTTCGTTCTCACTATGATCAATGGAAGAACTACAGTTAGCTACAAGGAGGTGACCTCAGCTTTGGTGAACTATGAGTTGAGGAGGAGTGATGGTGAACCCTCCGAGAAGGCATCGGGAGATGCGTTAGCAGTTCGAGGCCGAGATCCAAACCGTCGTCAGTTTAACCGCTCAAAGTCTAAGAATAGGAGTGCCTATAAGAGTGTTGGTAGAAATCAATGTCGGTATTGTAAAGAAGAAGGACATTGGAAGATTGACTGCCCAAAGTGGAAAGAAAAAGCCGGAAAGAATAAGGGGAAAGCTGCACAAGCTTCAGAAGTGAATGTTGCAAAAGCTATTGGTGAGCATTCAGATTCAGATTCTTCAGGCTATTCATGCCCTGCTTTACCGTCGGTTTGCTATGCGGATTCCACGGAGTGGATGATGGATTCGGGAGCTACATATCACATCTGCCCTAAGAGGGAGTGGTTTTCTAGCTTTGAGGAGCTGGAAAGAGGGGATGTCGTGCTTATGGGTAATGATCACGTATGCCCTATTGGTGGTATTGGTTCAGTCCGGATCAGGATGCATGATGGTGTAGTGAGGGAATTGAAGGAAGTGAGGTTCGTGCCGCAGTTGACGAAGAACATCATTTCTCTTGGGACTTTGGAGGCAGCAGGATATCGAGTGATCTTAGAGGATGCTACAGTGAAGGTCACGAAGGGTTCTATGGTGGTGATGCGAGGTGTCAGGGAAAACTACCTATACTACTTGAAGGGCAAGACAGTTACAGGGGGTCTGGCAGCTTCTATCACTACAGAGGAGGACACTACCACCTTATGGCACATGAGACTTGGACACACAGGAGATAAGTCCCTACAGTCATTGGCTAAAAAGGGGCTATTGAAAGGTGCTAAGACCTGCAAGATGGAATTGTGTGAGCATTGTGTACTTGGGAAGAAGACTAGAGTGAAGTTTGGCACCGCTGTTCATAACACCCTAGGTACATTGGATTATATTCACACAGACGTTTGGGGTCCTTCCAAGAACACATCTCTTGGTGGGGCCAACTATTTTGTCACTTTCATTGATGATTATTCCAGGAGGAATTGGGTATACCCGATGAAGCATAAACATCAGGTCCTGGATATTTTTGTGGAGTGGAAAAAGAAAGTGGAGCTGCAGACAGGTAGAAAGGTGAAGACTCTACGTTCAGATAACGGTGGAGAGTACAAGAGTGATCCGTTTATCCGTTTCTGTAGTTTTGCCGGGATCACGACATTAGAAGACACTTCACAGTTCGAGAGACACCGCAACAGAACGGGGTGGCTGAGAGATTGAACCGTACCTTGCTGGAGAAGGTGAGGTGTATGATGATGCAGAGTGGATTGCCTAGATCTTTTTAGGCCGAGGCGTTGGTTTATGCGAGCCATCTTGTGAACAGGTTGCCGTGCACTGCGATAGACGGGAAGACTCCTTTGGAGCGTTGGTTTGGTTCGGTGGCTAGTGACTATGAGTCACTTCGGATATTCGGGTGTCCAGCTTATTATCATGTCAGTGATGGTAAATTAAATCCGAGAGCGAGGAAAGCAATCTTTGTGGGATTTAGAGATGGAGTCAAAGGCTTCAAGTTATGGGATCCACAGGACAAGAAGATAGTTATTAGCAGAGATGTCACATTTGACGAGGCGTACATGATGAGGCCTCGAGCCCCTCAGCAGGTGGAGGGAGACCAGATAGGAGAGATATCGCAGCAGGTGGATGTTGATGTGACTCCACCCACTCCAGAGAACACTATATCCATTGAGGCTCCTACAGAGGTGACACTGGGAGGAGATGAGATGACAGATGGGCAGATACAGGATACAGTAGATCATGGGACTCAGGAACAGGGTCATGTTCAGAGGACCATTGCAGCAGATAGACCGAGGAGAGAGATTCGTCGGCCAGCTAGGTATAATGATGTCATGGTCGCATATGCATTATCAGTGGAGGTCGTTGATGATATGGTTCCAGCCACATTCAGGGAGGCAGAGTCTAGCCCCAATTCGATCAGGTGGAGGGAAGCTATGAAGGAGGAGATGCGGTCTCTTCAGAAGAACGACACTTGGACACTTGCACATCTACCTAAGGGTAAGAAAGCTATTGGTTGCAAGTGGGTATATGCGAAGAAGGAGGGATCTTCTATTGGGGACATAAGATTCAAAGCCAGATTGGTTGCCAAGGGATATGTACAGCTTGAGCGCATTGATTATAACGAGGTATTTTCACCCGTTGTGAAGCATTCGTCGATTCGGATTTTATTGGCATTGGTGGCACAGTTGGATTTGGATTTGGTCCAGATGGATGTGAAGACAGCCTTTCTACACGGTGATTTAGATGAGGAGATCTACATGACACAACCACAGGGTTTCAAAGCTGCAGGAAAGGAAAATTTGGTTTGTAAGCTGAAGAAGTCTCTTTATGGTTTGAAGCAGTCACCAAGACAGTGGTATAAGAGATTCGACGGCTTTATGATTGGCCGAGGGTACACGAGGAGCCCATATGACCCATGTGTTTATATGCACAAGCTACAGGATGGTGAGCTCATATATTTGCTTTTATATGTTGATGATATGCTTATTGCTTCCAGGAATTCTTCAGCTATTCGAAAGCTGAAAGAGGAGTTATCATCCGAGTTTGAGATGAAGGATCTTGGAGAGGCAAAGAAGATATTGGGTATGGAGATCGAGCGAGACAGGGTGAAGGGGAAATTGAAGCTTACACAGAAGAGCTACTTGCAGAAGATGTTGAAGAAATTCAGCTTTGATGGCAATGCAAAAGCAGTTAGCACACCATTGGCTCCCCACTTCAAGCTTTCAGCGTTGATGTCACCTGTTTCAGTTGAGGACAGAGATTATATGTCGAAGGTCCCATATGCTAGTGCAGTAGGTAGCTTGATGTATGCGATGGTGTGTACGAGGCCAGATTTGTCACAGGCCGTGAGCATGGTATCGAGATACATGCATGACCCCGGGAAGGGTCACTGGGAGGCCGTGAAGTGGATTCTACGGTATGTTCGAGGCACCGTGGATGTTGGTTTAGTGTTTCAGAAGGATGAGAAGGACGGGCAGGCTTGTATTGGTTATGTGGATTCAGATTATGCTGGAGATCTTGACAAACGCCGGTCTACGTCAGGTTATGCTTTTACATTGGCAGGTGCACCTGTATGTTGGCGTTGCACGCTTCAGTCCACAGTGGCTCTCTCTACTACAGAGGCAGAGTATATGGCAGTTACTGAAGCTATTAAGGAGGCTTTATGGTTGCGTGGATTATTGGAGGACTTGGGGATTGCACAGGAGACTATTCGGATATATTGTGATAGTATGTCGGCTATCTATTTGGCAAAGAACCAGGTTTATCATGCGCGCACAAAGCACATCGATGTCAGATTCCACTTTGTACGGGACGTCTTGAATGATGGAGATGTCATATTGGAGAAGGTCCACACAAATGACAACCCTGCAGATATGTTGACCA